CCCCAAAACCCCAAAACCCCAAAACCCCAAAACCCCTGTGATCTTGCGGAAACTGAATAACTTTAGAAGATTGTAGACTTTTAATGGTGTTTTCAACAACTATTTTAGACAACAAGGCCATTGAAGGCCATCAGCAGCGTTACAGGGAGTGGGGTTTCGGAGATTAATGATAAAACGAGTTATAGCTCGGTAAATCAGAAGGCTTTGTTAGACCAAGTTGAAGTAATTTCAATCCTTAGTCCCTCCTTGAGAACTTTCTTTAATGCTATTTCCCTCTCTGTAAAATTCTGTTAGTCAGACTATCATGGTATGAGAAATTTTGTCGTACACGGACATCAGCAGGCCGAGGGAGCGTCTTGCCATTCAGCCTGGTCCTTTCGCTTTTCAAAGTCTCAATATATTTATTACTATGTATTAAAAACCAAGCTTTACTTTGTATTGAGTCTTCTTTGGCTTCTTTTCCATTCTGCAGTGATTAACAAGTGCTTACCTTCAACCTTCTTCTTTTCCTTCTCAATTTTCCTGATGTATCGTTCTGATCCTTGTGTGTTGGTCCTCTTAAGGTCAAGATCTTTCCTTGCATCTATGAAATGGTTGCTTATAAACAAATACCCTCAAATGTGTCAGATTCTTTATCGAAATTCTTGCTAAACAGTCTTTGGTAAATATTTGCAGTTGAGGGTTTCTCATTCAGAGAATCTTTGGACTCCATCACACTTATATGACCCTTAGTGGTCTTAAAGATTATCTACATGTTAGATAGACCTGTACCGAAGAGTCAGTCCTGACAGGAACCTCTGTGTTTTGGCGCGAATAAGCATTACTTTCCTCCTTCTTTAGGTTATTGTGCTTCTCAGTTTCAGCCTTTTTGAGCTGAGAAGCCTTTCTAGAGGTTTCTACTTTTGATCTGACTTCATCAGAGAAGATTGAGTTTTGTAATTCTGCAGCATTTTTACAGACTTCTTTTACAGATTTCTCTTCTTCCTTTTCTTCTTCATCAATTAGTGTAAAGTTATTTTTGACTCTTTTTGTTTTCCTACTTTTAAATTTTCACTTATTTTGAAATTTATCGAGCTTTTGCTTCATCTGATGTTGATTGACAGAAGAACGAGGGCCTTTTAAAGATCTATCCGATTGGAAGTGTTTAGTAGCAAGGTTAGAACTGGAAATATCCTCTCTGCTTTTATTAACATTCCTGACACTCATAGGAGCTACCTTCCTTTGTCCTCTATTCAAAAATTTTTACAAAAATTACCTTGAAGAAGAATTTTTAACTGGAGTTTTCTTAAAGAAATTTCTATTTTTCTTTCTATGAACCATAAATTTTTGTCTGTTTCAAGATAAACTCTGACGTTTGTAATTAGTATTTGGCCTGATGATTTTATTCTACAGGGTTAAATTTCAAATTCACATTTGGCCAATACTTCTGCTGTAAGATTAGCTTCATCTTTCACATCTTTCTTCGATTGTGTCTAACAACTAAAAGATTAGTAGGAATAGTTACTCATATCACTAGCTTTTGGCTCTAGCTCATGTCTGTTCCTATACTGGGTAGAACTGCAATTTCTAGTGGCCAAAATTTAGCGTAATAGAGAGCGACAAACTTACATCACAACTGCAGATTTGTTCACATCAAATTGGTTGGGAACAGGAGATCTCTGCTTAAATCTAGAATATTACCCAGCCAGTTTTACTTGAGATTATTTTTGCTTGCTTCTCTTGACCTTAAGGTTAGTGTTTGGCCTTATTCAGAGCCTTGAGAGGGACCAATCCTTCAACTGATTGGTCAGCCTCGTTTCATAAATTCTGTGAATCATCTCATTTTTCTGCTTCCTGTTTATAGGGAACTTTATATTTGAAGATGCTAAATATTTGACCCCTGCACTTACTAATGTCTGCTATTGAGCATTCTATAGAGAATAACATTGATAAACATACTTGAATTCTTTGTGTACCTTCTGTTGCTTATTACTTTTCTTTCATGATCGGCCTTATGGTTATTTTCCTTTCAGAGTTTGATACCCTCCTTCATCAATCTGATCATTCAGGATGGTACTCCTGCCTGTCTTCTTAATTGATTTTCTCATCTCATCATTTGGATCTAGATAAATAAATTACAACCAAAAATGATAGGAAAGAAGGTATTCAGAGAGTTCCAAGTCTACCATCGTTAAGATATAAGTCGACTTCTTGGCTATTATTAGTTCGGGGCTTTGACGACTCCATTATTTTAAATATTTCAGTTTTTATCCTCCAATAAGGGGTTTTGGGGTTTTGGGGTTTTGGGGTTTTGGGG